GCCATGTTGATGAGGGTTAGAGCGACCTTTTCAACCTACTAGTATCTAATCTCAGGCCCTTGGAGGGCTTTGCTCGTGAAGTATATCGGCTTCTGCCTTTCGGGAGTTTTGGGTTTTGACAATACGGGAGAATCTGAGAGGACTTGCTTGAGGTGGAGGAGGGTCTGCTCACATTCCTCGGTTCATTTGAAAGCGGCCTCCTTGTGTAGAAGCTTAAAGAAGGGGAGGGCGTGTTGTTCGGACTTGGCGACGAATCGTGACAAAGACACGAGCATCCCGTTTAACGATTGGATGTACTTCTTTGTGTTCAGTGTTGCAAACTCAGAGAAGTCCCTACACTTGTTCAAGTTTGCTTCTATTCCTCGTTTCGTTAGGTAGAAACCGAGGAACTTTCCTGTTCATACGCCGAAGGTGCACTTTTCAGGGTTGAACTTTATCCTGCATTTCCTCGCCGTTTCGAAGACCTTCTTGAGATGAGCAGTATGGTCAACCTCTTCTCCTGACTTCATGATCATGTCGTCCATGTAAACTTCGAGCATCTCCCTAATTTCTCCCCGGAAGACCTTGTTCATTATCCTTTGTTAGGTCGCCCTGACATTCTTCAGACCAAAGAGCATTACGTTGTAGTAATAGTTGTTTGACTCGGTCATGAAGGTCGTATATTGCTTGTCGGCCTTCGCCATGGGGATTTGATTGTATCTCGAGTACCTGTCCATAAATGAAAACAATTTAAAACCTGCATAACTATTGACGATTTTGTCGATGTTAGGCAACGGGTAAGCATCTTTGGGACATGCCTGATTGAGATCAGTATATTCAACACACATTCTCCATTTTCCATTATGTTTCTTAACTAGTACAACGCTGGACAACCAAGTTGTGTACTGGGCTTTCAATATAAAATTTTCCTATAGGATGTCTTTTATAGCTTTTTCGGCAGCCTCTGCTTTCTCGGGAGACTGCCTACGCCTATGTTGAACTATGGCCCTAGCGACCGGATCTATGGAGAGGTGGTGGTATGCTACATCGGGGTCGAGCCCAAGAATTTCTGCAGCGTTCCACGCGAATATGTCGGCATTCTCCTAGAGGAAAGCCTTGAGCTATTTCCTCGCCAGGTTGGGGAGCCCTGTGCCAATCTTCACGCTTCTTCCGGGGTCGTCTTCGAGTGTTGTGAGCTCGAAGTCTTAGTCTGGAATGAGGCGTGTTGGGTGGGACGGCTGCCCGTTGTCTGCTGGATACGTGTCTTCAGATTCTTCACTTTGTCCCTGCTTGTCGGGGAAACGACTATCGAGGTCAACTGAATTGACGTATGTAAGGGGCTTCGGCTCCTCTGTTTGGGTTGGTCTGCTGGCTGACTTGGGGGACGTTGATTGAGTTGAGTCCTTTAAGTGCTGCCTCGAAGCATTTTCTGGCCGTCTCAATGTCCCCGTCGAGGGTGACGACCTCTCCTCTAGTCGTGTAATACTTCATCTTCAGGTGGACTGTAGATGGTACCGCGGTCAGTTCGGCCAATGTTGGCCTTCCTAGGATGCACTGGTATAAGGAGGGGCATTCAATTACCAGGAAGCGAACCTTCACCTATCTGGCCACCTCCTTGGTCCCGAATGTGATGAATAGTTCCACGTATCCCCAAGGCTTGGTGGTGGTGCCGTTTAAGCCTTAGAGGTCGGAGCCCACATATGGGGTTAAGAGGCTCTCGTCGAACTGGAGGGTCGTGAATAAGTGAGCGTACATTATGTCCACCGAACTCCCTTGGTCGACTAGGATTCAGCACACATCAAAGTTCGCCATCTGAGCCTTGATAAATAGGGGAATACTGGAGTTAGGTGCCCCCCTGGGAAGCTCTTCAAGGTAAAAGGTAATTGAATTTGATTGTCCTTTGAACCTGTCAAGGGTAGAGTTCATCTTCGAGCTCTTGTCGATGAGTTCCTTAAACTTCCTCTTGACCGACCCGACCGATAGCTTGTTGGGCCCCCCGCCGAATATCACTAGAGTGGCGGGAAAATCCTCCCATAGACTGTGGGTGGACAACGGTCTGGCAGACTCTCTAAAAAGGAGGAAATCTTTTGATCGGGATATGTACGCGGTGATCTGCAGTCCCGCTTAGTCGGAGAGAATCGACGCTTCCTCGACCCTTTTGGCCTCGCAGGCCTCAGGTCGGGGGGCTTCACCCCTCCGGGTATACTGTTTCAGATGCCCTTCCTTAATTAAGATCTCGATTGCATCTTTGAGGTGGATGAAATTCTCCGTGACGTGCCCATGGCTCCGATGGAACCGACAGTATTTGGATTTGTTTATGTTGGGCTATGGGGGTGTCGGTTTCAGGAAACAGACACCACCCCTCTGAAACTCCGAATTGATACATTCAGACATGATACACTCGTGAGGAGCTGTGAGCAACGTGTACTCAGTGAACCGACCCGCTGGTCCTCTTTGTTCGCGGGGTCGGTCTTCGCGTCTTCTCTACTCGTTTCATCAAGGAGGAGTGTCTTCCTCATGCCTGACGCCTCTGAAGCCCTCCTGATTCCGCCTGTCCCGGGCGGTGTTTGCGGCCTTTATCTCCTCATACTCGATGTATGATTGAGCTTTGTGGAGAAGGGCATTCAAGGTGAGGGGACATCCGATTCCAACGGCCTTGGAGAAGTCAGAGTGAGGTTTTATGCCTCTCTGGATCAAGAATTTTTTTCATATCGTCTGTGGTGGACACCTGGACAGCCTCTCGATTCAACCTCTCTATATAATCTCGGAGAGACTTATTCTTCCCTTGGATAATGGCTTCCAGGGACGCTTCTGTCTTCGGATGGCGTCGAGAAGCCATGAAGTGCCAGGAGAACTACCGCTTCAGTTTACCCTAGGAGGTGATGGAGTCAGGCGCGATAAGCTTGTACCACGCCATGGCACCCTTCCTCAGGGTAATGGGGAACAACTTCTATTTGATGGCTCCCTGAACGTTTCGGTAATCGAGCGTTATGTTTATGCTTTTGATATGGTCGTCCGGGTCAGTCGTGCTATCGTATGTTGCCAAGGTCGGGAGTTTTTCCATCTCAACGGGAAGTGGAGCTTCCCTGATGGCCCTACATAGCAGCGAGCGCCGAACGTCTTTATCGCTCCTGATGGGCGACAGTGAGGGGGAAATTGATCCCTGATGGTTTCTGTTCTGTCGGGGAGGAGTCTTCAGTCAGGCTCTCGGTCTGGAGGCACCCCTTGCGGTTTTATGCTTCTTCTAAGCTGGGGAACGTCACTCTTTCTGGAGAGGTGACCTGTCCCGCTTGTGGGAAAACAACTTCTAAGGTCGCTCCTAACGAGGGTGGTGCCCCGTCGGTCAGGGAGAGGGGCTCCAAGAATCCTCGATGGGTTGTGTCCTCCACGAGGAAGGAGAGAGGCTGATGGAAACTAGGTGACGATGCCTATGCGGTAGAGGAGAAAGACTGATGGAAACTAGGCGACGATGTCTCCGCGGGGGAGAGCCCGATGGTCGTTCTCTCTCAAGCATTCCTATCCGCTCGTTCTACCCGAAGATCATCAAGTTGGTCTGGTTGATTGTTGCACCACGGTAGGATCGACGCCAGCTGGTACCGGGAAGGGCTGGTAGACAGCCGGGCTGTCTAAGCGCTGGGCGACGTTGAAGGTCGCATCTTGTGAGGAGGGAGAGGCGGTGCGCCCGTCCCTGTAGTCACCTTCTTCGTTGCGGACAGTCGCGTTAGGGTTATGGCCGTCCCCGTTGGAGAAGGGGGCAAAGGAAGATTTTGAAGCATTGTCATTGTGTGGGCTGGCCATGATCGAAGTGGAAGCTGAAGATTGCTTTGGTCCTTGAGCTACTATGCTAGAATAGGAGCAACAATGGGGAAGCAAAGGTTCCCATAAACGGCGCCACTGATCTTACCTGGTCAAAAAGGAATCAGTAGCCTACCACGCGTTGTGAGTTGTTGCCTTCACCGGTGTTGTGGAGGAGGATGAGGGTGTGCCTGTAAGGTGCTTCGATGATTAAGTAAGTAACGGAGTTTAGAAAGAGGAAATATAGAGAAAAGGCGTAGTAAATGAGATACCTGACCCTCTAGTGAAATATGGTATTTATAGTGTGCCCCCAGCGCAGGGCCAATGGTTGCATTGCATTGGGCCGGATTGTCAAACCCAACACAAGTAATTGTCAGGGCTTACGTGTCGTAGTGAAGATCAGCACGTGGTTTTCGCCCTGAATTAACTATCTTGTGATCTTCGGAAGGTGGACTGACAATCTCTTTCGAAAGTGGGTAGTTGCCTGATGACGTGTCTCCGCGTGGGGGACACGTGGAGTCCTTGGATAAAGCGCGTGAGCTCTCCCCGTGCAAGATAATACTCTGCCTGACTAGTGTGCCTTGTTGAGGCGTGTGCTCGACGGAGGGGACTAAGTCTTGTTGGGCCTCATCAACATAATATTGGATTGGGTCTGTCCGGCTGAGGGGCAGGTCTCGGCGTAGTCAAAAACAGTTATTATAATTACTGTCAACCATCACGTTGACCAACATATACCACCATTCTAACTATCGTCATTTATTCCACATCTGACCACCAATCTCTACCATTGATTATCAGCCTAACTATCACTCCGACGACCGTAAACCACCACTTGTCATCACCATCAACCACCTCTTTGATTAAAATATGTGAATTAAAGTCGAGAAAAATGTCATTAAAGAGAGAAAATTTTGACATTCATGTATTGAAAAAAAGAAAAGAAAAGAGCAATGGGATAAATTATGGTATTTATAGCCAATCCGGAGACGTGTCACTATATATCAATTTTAAAATAATTTTTTGAATAAATTAATTGGATATTTCTATATGTATGATGAGGACATATCTTAGCATATCAATACTAATCAGCTACATCCAGCGGAGATATTGGCGTATCCATGCTTCATTAATAAAGGAGGCGCCATCGGCCATCCCTTCATTCATATGGGTTAATTGTATATATATTTCTCTTCATCCTGTGAGCGTTGGAGTTAAGTATAATCAAAATGAAAGTTTTCTTGTTCTATCTTGTTCCTTTGGTCTTGTTCTTCTGCTGTTCCCAAGGGCGATTGCTCTCGATCGCAACAAAACCTGACCCAAAGGATGCTGTTGCAACTGCTCGTTGGTTGGTATCTTTCAATTTCTGGGGCGTCTTAAGGTTCTCTCTCCGAATTCCTTTATTACCGATTTTATTTTCATCACTTCAATTATGTTTGACTTGTTGATTTCGTATTCATGTTCTCTTCGAGTTTTCACTTTGTTTTTTTATGCTAGTTTATTCTTTAAATACGTCGATCATATTAGTCTCTCTTTTTATCATGATTTTGTTAGTCTCTATGATGGACTAATTTGACTAATATTTGAAATTCTTACGGTGAAAATTTTGTTTTTCCCTTTTTTTTAAGCATCAGTTAGGTCTGGTGTTTTCTATGAGGACCAATTTGAGTTCTATTCTTTCTTTTAGGCTATGTTTAGATTAATGACGTAGAACCTATGAAACACTAATTCCGACATAGACACCGGAATACGACACAACATGGATATTTCGTCACTGATAATGTCAAAATATAAGACACAAATACTCTTATATATAAGAGAGTATTTCAGTTTTATTTATCTATTTATGATTAAAAAAATTAAAAATATTCTAATCAAAATTAATGTCTTTAATTTTTTATTAATAACATTACTTAAATGCACGTTTAAAAATTTGTGTGAGATCTGTCCAAAATATGTATAAAAGTGTGTTGAAACAAAGAATTTTTTTTGTTTGAAACACTTGTCTGAATTGTTTGATGGATTTGTTAGGAGTGTCATTCGGGTGTCGGCTATTGATTCGAAGGGTGTCGAAACAAAGAAAAAAATCATTTTTTAATGAACACTTGTCTGACTTTTTCGACACGTCTCGTACAGGTGTCATACAAATGTTTGACACTGACGCGTGTCAGACCCTGCGACACGCCTACTAGTAGAGGAGTCTCTGCTTCATAGCTTAGAAGATAGGGGAGGGAATAGAGCATAATGGAATGAAAGAGAGATTTCATTCCAGTGATTGTGTATATTTTATAATTTGATAGAACTTGGAACCATGATGTTCCATTCCTCCCCCATCTATTATTTGCAAATAAGTCTGATTTTAAAGAAAATAGGATATGTACTGATGTTAACCAATCACCTTTGTGCATTCCGCAAAGTCAGACTTTAAATTTCAAATAAATGATATGACATGACTAAATGAAGAATTTTTATTGGACGACAGTGTAAACCATTCTTTTTTTATTTTATCACATTCCACCGATCCAAACATACCCTTAATACTTAGGAACTTAGACGGGTGAAAACTCTATATGTAGGTTTGCTGGTGGAAGATTAGGTATTTATAGGTGCAAAGTTGAATATGAAATCATATAAATTATACAACTTCTTTCTGATTTCATATTGAAATTGCTTAAACAGCTTATTGTTTCTTTGCAGTACTATCTCAACTGATTTGGATGGAGCACCCTTTGGGTAAGCATTGCTTATACAATTCCTTTATGTAAAGTGATGGACTACACTCTGCTGTATAATGACCTTCACATCTGGATATATGCAGCAATGTCGTATCATTTAGTGATGGACTACCAAACCAAGGCGTCGGCATCCCATACTTCTACTTAACTACCCTAGACCCAACAGCAAGACACGCATTAAAAGATGGAAGAGCTTCGTTCACAGTCAGCGAGTACCCTCTCGGGACTTGTGGCAAGATTGACCCAGAGAATCCTACATGTTCGAAAATTACTCTGACTGGGAAGGTCTGTGTGTGTGAGAAGACGAATATTTTCGCATTTCCTTTTGTTGTTTACTTGGAAATTTGATTTGGTCTATGTGTTTCAGCTGAAATTGGTTGATGAAAAGTCAAAGGAAGCTGAATTTTCCAGAAATGCCTTGTTTTCCAAGCATTCAGAGATGATGGGTAATTGTTAATTAATCATATGAATGGTTGTAAATATTGGTCGTTAAGAACTGATTCATACTAACTTTCAGAAATGTTTAACAGATTGGCCTGAGGATCACGATTTTCAGTTCTTCAAATTGGAAATTGAGAAAATATTTTTGATTGATTGGTTTGGTGGTCCAAAACCTATCACAGTGGAACAGTACTTACATCCAAAAATGTAAGTGGCAATGATATGATAATCAAATTTTATGGATTTGTTGATTTTTAGTTTCCACGTTTTTCTCATTCATTTCTACTGTCTACAGGAACAATCATGCATTCATTGTCTGAATGCTCTTCTGTTTGCCACTCCATATTGTTGCAAAGGAAACAACATTTGTTGTAACTGTTGGTAACTAGAAAGATATCAAATGTTTGTCAAAATGTGATATGTAACCGTACAGACTGATTGGCTAAAAAAGTGTTGATATTCTGCGTTAGAGCACCCGTGTAATTCTTATATCATGTATATCAATTTATTTGGTTACAAAAGTTGTGTAAACAATTGCCAATTTATCACTACGGTATGCTTATACAAGGCATGGTAAAAACAAATTAATCTCAAAGGCATGGATTTTGCACCAGTTCAGGCGAGCCAACCTGAGGACAATCTGATAGTCTAAAAGTCCTCTTTAGGCTAGGGACCATAGAGTCATAACCGAGCGACAAGTGTTACAGAAGTCCAAACTGCCTCGCAACATGGTCACGCTGCCTAGCCAAAGATGTTGGGACTCATAAGTGCTTGACCAAACAACCCGAATGTAGTTATTGGCAGTCGAGATGACGATGCAAGACTACACGGGATAATGAATAAGAGGCTCTCATAAAACACGTTCATCTCTGGAGACAGAGTCGTGGGTAAAATTCGTCTTAAAAAATTCAGTGAAGTACAAGCAGAGCTACAACTAGAAGAACCAGATGAGACCACTCATAGTCTTGATATATTCTTGCTCAACAATTTCAAGATGTTGAAGAATTAGCTGTAGAACAGGAAAAAAAGAAGAGAGAGGCCCCAGAAATGATTCTTCTTTCATTATCCAGAAGGGCAATATAAACTTGAAACTCTTGTACGAGGGTGCAAAAGCCTATACACACAAATAACTTGCTGAACCAATAGAACAAGAAACTGTGATGCTCAACATCAGTGACGTGCTCTCACTCTTAGCATTAGGGTCAATAACTTGGAATATTCAGAGATACTTTTGAAAAAAGAGTTGCTCAATTGGGAGAGCCTCAGTCCCAAGAATCGACAAACTAGTGACCAAACAACCCGAAGGAGTGTTTCATGTTAAACTTTATGTCTTCGGCAAACTACTTCTTTCAATTTTTTAGCCTTTGGTTATCTCCATACAAGCTAGACAAGCAAGAATGTATCCGCAATTATCCCTACAACGACCTCTACTTATCTCTCTCTCAATATTCAATAGTCACTTGTGTTTTAGATTGGCCAAAGACTAAAAAAGACAAGATTCACGTTTCAACTAGATCATTGAACATTCCAACCAATTCTCAGGGTGTGCTTTATTCAAGGATTAAAAATGCAATCTTAGAACCATGAATATTTTTTCTATCCTTTTGTTTGGTAAATAATTTAAATTCACAGGAATATTTATAAATTTTTTTTTACCTAAATAACTCACTTTTTAAATTCTTTTTTTAAAAATCTCATTTTTAAAAATATTTTTCAAATTATCCTAGTTAGAGTTTCTGAATGCATGTAAGCGTTATACCAATTGACGACTCTTTGTTAGGGCATAAGTGGAGTTGCCAATTGGATTGGAGACACTTCATGAAGTCTCCAATTCAATTGGCGATTTGGTGTGATACATAGAGGGGAATCGCCAATTCATCTGGAGACTGCTTAGAAACTGAATTTTTTTCTATAAACAGAGGTGTTCTGATCATTTAGTTCTACAATTCATCTCATATATTTGTTCCACTAATAACATGTATCGTCGTCGGTGGGAAAAAGTCATCTATTCGAGAGAGAAGACTCTGATGGACATGTTGTTTTGGAACATACAAAGTTTTAATCAACTTAAGAGGGAGATGAATCGGTGGTTAGAAGGAGACATTGGTGAAGGGAAAAAAATTCGAAGTATCGAGAGACTTTATCGACTGCGTGGATGAGTTTGTGTTAAGACTGACAAGGATGCGAGGGAAGTCAAGTTTGAACCGAATGAAATTAGCTTGATTGTTGTAATCAATTAGGAATGTTTTATGTTTCTTTTATGTTATCTGTTTTATGTGTTGTGTGTTGTTAGTTCCCGGTATGTGTTGCTTGTTGTTAACATTACTATAACAAAGACTTATCAATATATGAAAATATTAAGTTACGAAACAGTAAGTTAAATCATGATGTAGATGTTGCTCCGACATTAGGATAATTTTTTCGGTTGTGTCCGGGCTGACGACGTATACTGCATAATCTTATCATTTTATCAGCTGTATTCATTTCGGTTCTTATACGCTTGCTGTTTGGACATTCCTTTTTCTTTCTTTGCATCTCATCGTTGTGTCAAACTATGTTACCTTGGTATGGAGGTCAATATTCCTCCATTGGTAACACTGCGAAGTCTTCGTTGTAGACATTCATAATATTAATCGCCTTGTAAACATTAGCTAAATGGTTATATGCATCATGACGAGCATGTGCGCATGCCGCAATGACATGTGAGCAAGGTACACGGAAGGCCTGATACTTGCCACAGTCACGCCAACATCTGTTTAGTCTGACAACATATAATAAATTAGGCCTTCCCTCATTATGGTCCTTTGTTTCTTGTACACTGAATGTTTGCCTATGACAGTCAAATACTATAACTGCATGTGTGTAAGATTTGATAGTATCCTCTTTCATCACTTTCATTATGCATTCACTGAATACTTGACCCGACATTAACACTGCACTCCATCTTACGTCTCTTGTTGCGAAAAGTGATGCCAACCTATAATAAGTTGATCTCACCAAAACGGTGATTGGAAGGTTTCTAATTCCTTTTAATACCTCGTTGTCGTGGTGAAATTTGGATACCAAACTATTGATTAGTTTGAATCTTTAATTCATTTTGCAACCGAACTTTGATTTGTCCAAAGGAAGGGATAAAGATCGAAATTCCCACAATGCAATGCAAATGCAAGCTAGATTGTTTAGGTTCGGGGGTTGGTTAAACTTAGGGAAGGTACTAGCATCCTAAGTTTCTGTAGTACTCTACAGGAACCTCTTGTTTTATGTTGTTTACTGCTAAGTGTTTATCTGCTTAATGGTTTAGAGACCCTAGGGGTTTATTTCTAAGTATACTCGATAAGGCATCGCACCTTGTGCCTACATATCCTTACGGGAGTGGAATCAGAGTATGTTGTAGTTCACCCTAAAGGGTTTGAGGAGCTCTTTGACTGTGGTCAAAGTTCCTACGGGTTTAGGGTAGTTGTTTTGATTGAGTTTAGGAGAAGAGATGAGTCTTCATTTTAAGGGAGAGATAACCGCCACAAGTGTAAAAGGGGGTTGTAGGAAATGGTCTTTGCATCGTCTTAAGAAAAGGTCTTACATACTCGGATGGTCGCCAAGCATGCCTTTGTCGCTCTTAAGGCAAAGTCCCTACATGTTTGATTGTATTGTTGTGGGGTGGAGATTATATCTCACTTAAGATGATTAACATCTATTCTCTAATGTGTTTGAAAAGTTGTATTATTTGATTGTTTTGTTTCTATGTTGTAAAGATTAAGGTCCTTCCTATGGGGTAGGATCTATCCTATGGAGATTAACTTGAATGGGATCAAGGATCGAGGGGAATATGATGCATATGATGTGCAACCACACACAACGTTGAATTATGTGTAGGTTTTTCCTTTGGACGGAATGCGATGTAACAAGATAAGTATGATGATTACGAATAATGTAAACTGCTGAAGGATAAAATTGCAGAAAATAAATGCGGAAATATAAACCATACAAGTACGCATGAAAGCGCTAAGGTGTGTGAGAGTGAAAGGTGTCGTGAAGTGCACGATTTGATTTTAATCGTAGGATATTGATTTATTAAGTTATAAGAAAGTGTGGATTTAAGCGAGAAGTCGGTATAAATTTCACTCTAATGATTTATTTTATTATCTAAAAGAGTAAATTTATTTTATTAAAATATGTTGATTATAGAATAAAAAAGTTTTATTATTATTTATTTTTAAAAGTTAATTAAGTACTCAGAATTTATTCCGATAAATAAATTGACAAACATGTGGTTTATTTATAAAGGTTTTATTTTATTAGCGAATAGATACTTATTTAACTAAAGGGTATTTAAGTTGATTTAAAAAGGTTAATTTAAATTTAATTAGCAAAAGGGTTTAAAAATGAATTAATTTTATTAAAAAGAGTTTTTTAGGAATTAGGATAAAATGATTGATTAATTGGAATTATAAAAATATAAGTGAATATTAATTTATTAATAAAGTTGATAAGAGTTGATTATAAGAGTCGGTTAGACTAATGACATATAAAAAAGGGTTAATTAATTAATTAGGTTGATTAATTTAAAAGATTATTATTATATTAATTAAAAATGAATTACTAGTTTAAAAAAGATTAATTTGAGACTACTTAGATTAATTAAAAGATTTAAGTGAGTTTTTAAAAAAAAAAGTAAAAGTTAAAAGGTGATTAACGAGTGATGTGGTGTGATTAGTGTGTGTTAGTGTTAGTGTAGTAATAATTAGGTTACAAACCAAAATAACAAAACAGAAAAAAAAAGCTGGAACCCTAATTTCTCCGATTCCCAAATCGAACCCCCTCCGTCTCCGTCTTCCTCTCTCAAATGCGATCGCTCGCTTCTTCTTCTCTCCTTTCCTTTTCGATCCAACTCTAAAACCGAGGCTTAAGGCTGTGATGATGGCGGTGGCTTCGTAGTTCCGGCGAGTACGTTCGACGGTGGCTTGCGAAGCTGACGAGGGTGGTTACGGTTTCGGCGGTTTTGAAGAAAAGAGGTAAGCTCCCCTACTCCTTTCTTACTCCTCTCTTTTATTCTTTGAGTTTTCGAAAAGGGATTTTCGTGTTTGTGGATGTTGAACTTTACATTAATGTGGTATGGTTCTTTTGTAGTTTTTTGGTGATTGCCATTTTTTTCTCTCCCCTAATCATTCATCTGTTTCGGTCTTATATAGGGCTGGTCTGATTCTCTGATTAAAATTGTTTTAATCACAATTGAATGTTGATTTGGATTGTTGATTTGGATTTCCATTTTGGTACCAACTGATTTGAAAACCTTCCTCCTTCTGCTCCCATCTCTTTAAGTGTC